CCCTGCAAAGAAACCGAGCCTATATGATAACCAGTTGGCATTTCACAAACCACAAAGTCCCCAGTGTAAAGATCAAGTGTATGTTTGTTTTTGAAATACTCCTTTCTGCCACCTTTAAATTTTATCTCAATAATACTGAAACGCGTAGCTGGAGTTGACTCCATATTAGAGAGCCAATCGAAGGAATTCATTTTGTTGCAACCACCTGACGAACAACCGCCTGAGCTGCATCCTGCTGTAGTTTTGTGATTTGATTTTTCCTCCGCTACCTTTATTATATTGCCACATCCACCGGATGAACATTGTCCACAAGCCATAAGAAATCTATATTTTTATCCGATGATTTACGGTTTTTATCCAAAAAAATCATGCGGCTTCATTGCCTAAATTATATACAAACAAACAAAACTAAAAAAAACTAGACATAATTCATCAAATCCTTTCCAATATCTTTTCGGAAATACCTCTTTTTGAATTTTATTTTTTTGGCCATTTTTTGTGATTTTCTCACTGCCGAAGCCATAGTTCTGGCCATTGCCGTAAGTGCAATTACCCTGCCACCGTTGGTCACAACACCTGAATCAGTACTTTTTGTACCAGCGTGAAAAACAATCGTATCTTTATCAGCTTCAGGTATTTCCATCAAATCTCCCTTTTTGTATTCTTCTGGATAACCACCCGCCACAACCATGGTAGTAACTGCTGATTTTGGATTTACTGAGATCTTGATCTTGTCTAATTTCCCATCGGCAGCCGCCTGTAGCAAACGTACCATGTCGGTTTTGATTCGCGGTAATACAACCTCGGTTTCAGGATCTCCCATACGAGCATTGTATTCTATCACCATTGGGTTGCCATTGTCGTTCATCAGACCAATAAAAATGAAGCCAACGTAGTGAATCCCTTCTGCCTGAAGGCCTGCCAAAGTTGGTTTTACTACCAATTCTTCCACTTTTTGCATGAAAGCTGCATCAGCAAATGGAACTGGCGACACCGCTCCCATTCCACCAGTATTTAAGCCAGTATCTCCTTCACCAATTCTTTTATAATCTTTGGCTTCGGGCAAAATCACATAATTTTTTCCGTCAGAAAGAACGAATACTGAAAGTTCTATGCCTTTTAAGAACTGTTCAACGAATACTTTATCTCCTGCTTCACCAAACTTTCCTTCGGTGAGCATTTCTTTCAAACTTGTTTTTGCTTCTTCTTTATTTTCAGTGATAATTACGCCCTTTCCAGCAGCTAAACCATCAGCCTTTAATACGTAAGGACCTGTTTGTTTATCCAAATAGGCAATTCCTGCATCCAATGTTTCTTTAGTGAAAGTTTCAGAAAATGCAGTTGGAACACCATGCTTTTGCATGAATGCTTTTGAGAAATCTTTACTTCCTTCCAAACGAGCACCTGATGCATCTGGACCAATTATCCTGATTTTTCGAAGTTGTTTGTCGGCTTTAAAAAAATCTACTATTCCTTTTACCAATGGATCTTCTGGACCAACTACAACCATTCCAATGCTTTCAGCCAAAACCAATTTCTTAATTCCCTCAAAATCATCCACTTTGATATCAACATTGATTGCCAATTGGCTAGTGCCCGCATTGCCAGGTGCCACAAAAAGTTTATCGCATTTTTTGCTTTGTGCTATTTTCCATGCAAATGCATGCTCTCTTCCACCCGAACCTATTATAAGAATATTCATTTTCAGTATTTAAAAATACAAAAATAGGGATTGAAGGGGTGGGAACAAAATGGAGCAGTATTGTTTGGTCAAAACAATTTTACAAAAATTATTTTATTTGATTTGTTAAGGATTGTTGTCAAAGGTCAATTGGAAGCAAAATGGCACGCTGATGACGCTGATGCATGCAACGCTGATTTTACAGATTTTCCACTTACTTAAAAAATCATAGTAATCTCATTTGCAATATTTTTGCACTTTATTATTAAGAAAAATATCACAAGTCCCCTTGAGTTTGACACCATTTTGACTTAAGTAATTGATAATCAGACACAGCATTGTCCAATCGGCTCTCTACAAACCGTTATTTCGGAGGATTTTTAGATTTTGAATTTATCCTGTGTTTGGATTGGTAAGATTGGTTTTAGGCCCATTTTATTGAGGA